CACAGCGGCGTAGCAGTGGTGCAGTAAGTGTGACGCACCGAGACCTTCGTGATTTGGGGCCCTTAATTCAAAAGAAAACTGATATGAACAAAAATAAAAGCTTGCGTTAATTACAACCAATTATTTGTTTTTATTTTTGGTAGAAATAAATAATAAAAACATTTTTTTTTTTTCAAAATCTCATCAACGTCTTTTATTGTTAGATTAGTCAAAATACGAGAATGAAAAATTAAACTATTAAATTAAAATGTAATTATAATGAAATAAAATATGATATATTAAATACGATAAATTTAATATAGAAACGAATTTTAGTTTTCATTTTATATTTGGAATTCATTTTTCTAATTACAATAACTAAATAGTCTTTACAGAACAAACAGGGCTCGAAATGGTTCACGAAAAATTTTTTTCAGCGTTCCGATTCGTAAAAAAAAATAACGTATATCGTTCCGGTTCAAACAAATTTTTAGTGTACCTACCATATTTTGGTAAAATTTAAACATTTTGCAGAATTGTTCGTTGTAAAATATTTAATAAACATCAAACGACCGTTATGCATAAGTACATTTATTGCTTATCTATACGACAATCGCCGTCCGCCGATAGTGTATTTTAGCTTTATTTACACAATACGTATGTGAATTTTAAAAGTTAAAAATAAAGCATTTTACCGGATTCACACTATTGAAATCACTTGTATGTTTTTTCTCGCATGCATATTTTTACTCGTGCAAGAACAAAATTGAACAAATGTGAACGTTTATAGTACGCAAGCTCTTGCATGCAGTCCAAAACGTCGGACAGAAGTTGAATGAAATTAGGTAATTTTAGGCCAGTTTATTCCCGAACACGAATAGTGAACCACGTGATCAATGTGATTTCTTAATTCAAAACAAACTGATGCGCCAACACTATTTTTTCTACTAATCCATTGTCGAACCCATAATCTTTTTTTTTAAAAGCCTCTCGCTTCTTTTTTAAGATTTCTTTACGAAGCATATCGTAAACAATATAAGTACTCCTATTTTGTTCGATCCATTTAACAGTCCCGTTAAAAATTTAAAAAAAACAGCACTTCTACTCGCCATCAGATCACTTTTGAAACTAAACAATATTTAAATACATACATGACTAAAAATATACAAGTACATATGTAAATAAAGCTCTTAAAGCACGTGTCACGGAATTCACGTATACACGTGAAATACGTGTTTATCCAAATATATATATATATATCCATTTTTATAATGATGAAAATTAGTAATTTTATGTTATGCACTTGAAGTTTTAATAAATATTATTAGTACAGTATTAAGTTAAGGTTATACCTACGTTTTTATTTTGGATTTTACACGTAACACGTGAAACGTGAATTCACGTGTATTAAGAGGTCTATATGCGAAAATGCACTTTTTAATATTTAAATACATTTTTGATTTTTATATGAACTTTTTATTTTTTCGATCAATTATCGTTTGATAATACAGACTTAAAAAAATTGTATTATTAGTCGTTATTAATCGATATAAAATTATATTTTGCATATTTGTAACTATTGGTGATTTAGTTTGTTAGTTGTTTATAGTTATAGAAGAACATTTAGTTGATTTATACGACGTATCACATCACTTTCTGAAATATTATACTGGTTGAACATTGATATCGAATTCGAACGAATTAAATTTATTTATTCATTCGCATTCTGATTTTAGTTTTCAGATTTTGTTTCAAGAAAGTATCTGTCTAGAACATCAATTACAATGATGAACAATGTATTAATGGTGTCTGGCCAACCGAGTGCAGGAGATGCTATGAGTAATGGCAACAACTACAATCTTTCATTTCCAGCTTTGCCAGTTTTGAAGACTTCGGAGACAATTGGGACTGCACAATTAAAAAAACGGAGTAATTTTAAATCTAAAACGGTGAACGAAGTAATTTATCATGCCATTTTAATAGTAACTAATAAGTATTAGATCGATCAGTCTGATATTGATTTGTAACACGGTTGCATGTCAGTGCGATTATAATTTGTCCGTTCCGTTACCGCAATTTTATTTAAGTTACTTTATTAGTTTATTTAAGTTAAGTTAGTTAGTTCAGTTTACGGTATTATACGAGTATCCACGGTATTATATATCGTATTTATGCGACTTCACTTTCAAGATGGACAATATACCCTCTCCGCTTACTACCAAACCCAAAGGGTCGCTGCTATCATAGCATAATTCTCCAATCCATACAGGGAAAAACACTAAACCATTAGTCTCGCCTAATCGTTTCGCTGTCTTTTCGAGCGAAATGGACAAAGAAATCAAATTCGACACTTCCTATGACGTACATAATATAACCAAAGAATCTATTGTTTACCATCAATATAAAAACATCAGGTCACTATATATATCAGATGTCCTAATGGAATTAGATTCCCGCAAAAGAATTACGAATGTTATTCAAAATGGCCATACGCTTCCGCTGTTCATTGTTGCAATTAATCCAAATACAATTTTTAATGAATCATCAATGTTGCACACTAAAATTTAAGTCGAATTACCCAATAAGACTTATAGTGATTCACCTCAGTGTCTAAATTGACATAGCTACGGTCACTCTACGCTAACTATTAACATCACCATACCGGAAATAATGACGATCCTTCATCCTTCACGCTGTGTTAAACGCAGGGGAAATCACTCTTAAAACAGTTACATTAAAGAGAAAGGCAGTTTAACCAAGTGCGGCTTTTGCGCGGGTGATCATATTTCCAACTATAAAGGTTGTTCTAAACATGAATTACTTCTTAAACGTCGCAAAACAACCTACTTGTAATCATCAAAATAAAAATATTGTACTCACGTCTCCTTTTATCAAACTTTTTTCCAAAGCTTCTTGCGCCTCCATCACTGGTTCTAATAATATCCAATTACCAAATAGTCCTATGGACGATATACCGTTTTCCAATTTATCTCAGATCTTCTGGCATTAATAAATCTTATATTTATCCTTCTTTTATAATTACAGCTCTTCTACGCAATCACCTTACTCCTAAGCCCAAATTCTTTTCTACTTTATTCATTTAAATGATCACGTCTTTAACCTGTTGATATGTTATCCATTACTTTTAAATTTTAATTGGTCAATCAAAATTAACTCTTATTTCATAATTATCTCAAATTATTATATTTTACTAATATTATTTTATGATAATGATTATTGTATATTAATGTTAAAATACATACTTAGTTATCTTACATGATTTAATTGTTGAGCTATAATAACTTTGTGTCAAAAGTTAAATAAATAATAAAAAATAACATAAAAATTATAGAACGATAATTTACATATTAAAGAACATCATTATTATGTTTTTAAATAACATTTTTCTGTATGAATAGTAATAGTTTAGAAAGTTTATATATAGTTTATATATAGTTTTTAGTTTAGTTGATTTATATCTAAAATATAAATAAAAAAATATCTTAATTTTTATTTTGTAAAATTTGTAGATAATTACTATACCTGTCCAAGACAGACATTGGGACAGGAATAGTCAATTAGAGCATGAAAAATGTAAGGAAGCATATATGAAAATTGGGAAAGAGTATAATGTAGGAATAGAAATTTGTATTTCAAAAACCATGGATCTTACTTTACAAATCAGCGGCAATAGAGTTAATGTTGAACGAGCAAAACAAAAGATTATCACAATCGAACAAACTCAAGTAAATAAGTTTTAATTAAGTTGGAATTAATAAGATTAACTGATAAAAATAATATTTATTATTTATATATATATATATATATATATATATATATTATATTATTGTGTACAAATTATGAATAATTTATTATTATTATTATTATTATTTAATATTATAATATATAAATGTGCATAATAATTTAAAATGTTTAATGAATCATTTGTTATTTTATAGTTTTATTACGGATAAATAAATAAAAAAATATTTTTTTTAGAAATTTTAACTAAAACATTAAAATTTCAGATTAAAACTACTACTACACCGTTTCCAAAAGAACATCGAAGTACGTTATTGGGCAAACAAGGACGTAATCTTAAGAATATTGAAAAACGTACAGGAGCACGTCTTCAAATACCGTGTATGAAAAATTTGGCTGACATAATTTATATAACTGGAACAAAGGATTCCACGAAAAAAGTAGTTCAAGTATGTATCAAAAATATGTTTTAATGAATCGGAATTTAAGTTTAATACATTAAAGTAAATTAATTTTCGAAAAGAATGGCTAGAATGAATAGGTTGGAGAAAAATTGACAAAATAGATAATGCCTATTTTTAAAGTGGTTATTTGTGACCGTAGTAGTTTATTTATTTTATTAATTAAATTAAAATTAAATCTTTTAATAAATATTTGAAAATTTTACGATTTCTAAATTAAAATTCCAATAATTTTTATTATACTTTTATAGTAAAAATAAATTAATGAGGATTTTAATATTGAATTTTGATATAACAATATACGAATTCAATGAACTTTTAATTTTAATATTACTTATAGGTTTAAAAGTTTTTAAAAGATTTCTGATATGTTTTATTTTAAAAAAAAATTTACAAGTATTATGTATTAACGAAATCGGGTATTTTAATAAATTTCCATCAAATAGTTTCTTTCGTAATTTTTTAATAATTAAAATTTTTGTTAGGAATTGGAGGAAATTATAATTAAGTTGAAAAGTAAAATTGAAAAAGAAATAAAAATTGATCAACGTCACCACGGAGCGATAATTGGATTCAATGGTGAAAAAGTTCGAGAACTTCAAAAAATATTTAATGTTAAAATTATATTCCCCAGTCCAGGTAATTAATAGTATTAATAGTATTAATATGTTTGTATTTTTTGTATTTTGAGAGTTTATAAATAATATTTGGTTCGATATTTTAGTTGAGGCTAGAAATAATTTAGTTAAAATACAAGGTTTGAACGATGATGTAAATAAAGCATTTAAATCATTAGCTGAATTGGCCGAAGTATTGGATGAAATCAACTATGTGTTGGAAATTCCTATTTTTAAACAATTTCACAAACTTAATGCTGGAAAGAGAGCAATATTTATTAAAAAGGTAATTATTATTTATTAACTTTTGTGATTCGACCTTTAGAAATATTGTTATTTATATAATTTAATATTCTAGATTAGAGAAGAGACTGATACGAGAATTTTTTTACCACGTGAAGGAGGCAATAAGGATGTTATTAAAGTCATGGGAAATAAAAAAAAAGTTTTAATCGCTTATGATATGATTAAAGAAATACAAAATGAAATTGTTGGTCTTTTATAAATATTATTTATTTTTCAAGTTTATTTTTAATTTATCAATCATGTAATTTTAGGGAGACATAATAACAAAGGAAATGGTGTTGGGAAATGTTAAAGTTAGAAATGCCATTGTAAATCTAGGGAATAAATTCATTCAATCTATGAAAGAAGATTGTGGGGATAATGTGACATTGAATTTACCAACTGTTAAAGGAGATAATGTAAGAATATACTTATTTATTAAACTTATAAATTAAAATGACAATTTAACCAAACTGGTTAAACAAACAATTTAACTGGCTTCTGGCAGTTTCTCTCTTTGAGTAAGAAACGATTGTCTCAAGAGATGAAACTGCTTCTCCTCCCCTAATACAATAAGTAAATTTTCAAGAAAATTTCCCAAATGCTAAAATCTATTAAAAAAATAGTAAACCGTTATTTTAAAGCTAAACTTTTATTCATAGACTATAGTTATCAAAGGACCTGAAGATGATGTTAAAAATGTTA